TGAGAGGATTACACTATCTGACTTTTTGAATCCACCCACGCTATCAAAGTGGATTAGATCAACAGCTTTCCGTTCATGCTATTTATTTCTTATTCCTTCTCGATACGTCATTAGCCCGTGTCGGGTCACGCGGGAGTCCAGTGCTTGGGCGTGACAATTTCCAGATCTGCGCGAAGGAGAACGATTCTCGTCCAGTCGAATCGGATTCAAATTTCTATTTCTATAACGATGTAGCAAGCCAATTTAAGCAAACTCCGTATGTCTTATTTAACAAGACTTTCATTCGGTTGTACCTGCCTCCGCTTGTTCCACAACCTTGTGTCATTTGCTGCTGGGATTGGAAAACAAGTCTTTCCGTCCTTCCCCAGTCTCTCAGAAATATTCAATAAAGTCCATGTTTTATCTAATTCTTCATTCTAATGCAGCACATTAACTAATAAAGTCACGAGATTTTTTGGTTATCTGAAATTTTTTGAAGTTGCATTCGTGTTTGTTTGGCCCACCTTCACATAAATATCTACCCACTCTTCCCATGTACTTAATCCCTCTCGCCGCATCAGCCCAAAAGTGATTTATGTGTGAAGACCACCTTTGGGGTTATTCTCGTTTGGGTTTACTTCCTATGATTTGTTGGAATCTCATCATGAAAACATGTTCCAATCTGATTACCCTAACTCTAATACAGCCTCTTACACAATATGTAATATCCCCCATTTCATAATCTTAGAAGAGTTTTCTCTAAATTATGAACTGGAGGTCAAAATTAGAATCTGACTAATTGATAATCAAAATTATCTTATTAATAAGTGTCCAATTCCGAACAAGTCTTCACTCTCTAACAAAATTCTTCAGATTTGATTTCTTTCATTGAAAGATTTTCAGTTGGCTACGCATGAAAAACACAAACTACACAACTATGTATAACTTGTGTTTCAAAAATTTAAAGGGCTAAAAGCCTTAAAGCTACGCGGAGGATATATGAGCTGAAAGATGAAGATGATGTTGGTGAAACATGGTGTAGTTGGCTAGAAGTATCACAACTCACTGGATAGAAATATTACAACTCATAAGCGTAATTGGACTGTCAACAAATCATAAGTACATGTTGTTTCTATCCAGAAAAGCATCAAGAAACACATGCAATAGCTTAGATTTATAATGGCTCTAAAATCTTATTGTGCGTCTAAAGGCTTGCCAATGATGTTGATGATTGTTAGGTTTATTTTACCTCAAATAAATTTGAAGATTAGAGCATATGTAGCTAACTTAACCTCTAATGGTAATATTCTGTGTATACCTTAATTACAAGGTATGAAGTAACTCAACAAGGTATTGTAACCATTACTTTCTTCATATATTATTTGATTCTGTCGCATCGGTAGAAAATAACTTCTTCATTCTGATTTTGGCATTGTAATGCAAATTTGTGGAACAACATTTTCATACCATCAAACGCTTGAATATGAACTTGTTTTGATGATGCCTAAAGAGTAAATCTAATATTTGCAATTATCTTTATACATCATTCTTGAAGTTTGAAAACTAAATTTACACAAGAATAACTTGCTTGATATGCACAAAAAAATTCGATTGGAGATAAATATAGTTAAGGAATGGATGCGCAAGTCTTTAATTATGTTAATTATGTTAATTATGAAGTCCTGAAAAGGAGGAATCTGAATTATGATTAACACATATTGAGTACACTTAATGATTAAAAACCTCATAGTTCTACAAGCTTCTTCTCTTTTCATTTTAAATCAAATCATATGTGATTTTGAATCACATTTGAATCACTGATTCATGTTTAAAAAATATATATGTTTCATAAAGTAGAGTTGTTATATAGTTTATAAATACGTTTATTTCATAATTTCGATCTCAAGTACTATGTAATTACTGGATATGATCTAGTGAGGATAGCTCAATGGGGATAATTACTTTGTGATATACCTGAACCAAATAGATTGTGCATTAAATCAATAGTGAATAAGGTTTTGATTAAAATTGCATATGTCACTTTTCAAATATAACATCTAGTGAAGTAGATACATCAAGAGTATGCATCTGCTACTTGAATGCCTTTGTTATCCTTTCATTCAAAAGCAAGACCACTGTTGTTGACACGTTAAATGTACACTTCGTTTGGATGGCAAAAGATAAAGAATAAATGATAATGGTAAATGGTAATACAAGATAGTTCTAAAAAGTGCCATATTTTTTGTGTTATCAAAGATGTAATATATGTTGTTGTATTCATCTAGAATATCTATCCTTGTATTAAAGAAGTTCTAACAAGTACTATGCTCAATGCTCAATAAAGAAAATTATACATAACCATATTTTAAATCCAATTATTAAAATATCAGAGTTATGGATGTAGTCACAGTTATTTTGACTTAAATCAATGTATAATTATGCTAATACAAACTTATGTATCACATTCATGGATTTTAAATAATTTTATTATATGTTTTTTGGTTGATTAAAAAGTTTAGGATTGTTATGCATTCTTTGTAGGTATAATGTTGTAGAAACCGAGTGCATTAATCTAAAATCCGTTTGTTCATCATGTCCTCATGATTCGTGATGAGCAAATCATTTGTCTTACCGTTAATTTTTTGTTTGGCCACTACTGTTGTCCATGTATAAGATTACTCTGTGGCAGGCCTCATAAAGTCTCGCAAATGCCAAGTTTGCTAGAATGAAAGCTATCATTTCACTATTTTTTGTTTGATGGCTTGGCGATATTCATTTTGAGCGTTGAATTCCTTCATCTTTCTCCCATTTGATGATGAAGAGCTAACGCACTGCACAACTCACTCAAATGCATGAAGCGCACATTAAACAATCCCATGCCTTGCTGAATAACGGATCAAAACAAACAGAGCATGATTCATCCCCTCATGGCAGGCATGGTTGTATTAGGCGATTGTATATAGGGTCGCCTAAATTACTTAAATTTTATGGTGATTAGGCTACTAAGGGAATTAGGATTTGACGTGTGCATGTTATAACCAATGGAGAATGGACACGTATGTAGAGTAGATGGATTTTTAATTTATTTTTTATACAATAATATAATATATTTTTTTGAAAAATTTAAAAGAAACTTTCTCTGAAAAAAATATTAATAAACTAAATTAGCCTAAATTAAATTTTCAAATATTAAATTGGTCTAAATTAACTTTTCAATGTACTAAATTAGTCTAAATGAACTTGGTAAGGAGACTAAATTCGCCTAAATTAATGTTTTTGAATAGACTAAACTGATTTTTTCGAATAGACTAAATTATACGTATTTAGCTAATTTAGGCGAGATACTATTATATCCATGCAACTGCGCTGTTCGACGCAGTCTTGACGGTTTCTTTAGGCGTTCGTCTGACGGCTCCGTTTGTGCTCTTCAGCTCTGTTGCGTTCGTTCCAATAACTGCCCGGAGAAGAATGGGTGGCTTGCGTCAGCTATCCCGAAGCACAGCAGAAACATCGGTGACTTCAGTACCCAAGTTTGAGGATTTGCGTTTCCGCACTTCGTTCGCATTCATTCTCAACCATTTGGATGATGATCTGAACCAATTCATCTTTTAAATTTTTCACATTTGTAATTCGGCGTTCTTTAGATGATAGATTACGGTCTACTGCCCTCAATTTGAGCATATTTCACGTCAAATTTAAATAATAATTCCTTCAAATCAACGGATCCTGATGTGTAATTCGCGGTTTTATAACGTGATACATTTAGAATTGACTGCTTTGACTTTTTCTGTCCGATTCCTCTCACTGTTCTCGGCCTTTAAATTCGTTCCATAAGTTTCGCAATTTTGCCGCAAGGGAAAATCACTATCGAGCAAACAGCTCGGAAGTTTCCGTGCCTACTACTTTTCGGGAGGAAATTACTTGATGGGACCCGTTGGAAACTCAATCGTCTTGAAAGGACCAAAGAAGTTTGATTTTACCCGCTGGGACCCCATTAGACGGCCACCGTAAACCATGTTCTTATAACTTACTGATTTGCTCTATAGAGTGGGGAGTGTCCGAAACTGTCGGCCAGGGTATTTTGGCGAGTCGTTAGCAGCCATGTCTAAGAAACACCATGCACCATTAGTCTGAATTACTCCGGATTTGGTCTTGAGGTGACTTCATCTTTAACTCGAAATAACCCCAGATAGCATTGGAGCATCATTGACGGTGGGACTGCAATGGTGTCCCATCGGTAAAATGAAAACTGTTGGGTCCCATAAAGTGTTTTCCTCTACTTTTCCGCCCAATGGTAAGAAGACTTTGCTGTACAGAGCAGTTGCTGAGTAAACGTCAAAAGTAAAAAGCCTTATCCCTTGGGATAGCTAAGATTTCTCGGCAATTAAAACGCCTCAACGTTGTCGACGCTGGCCAACCCTGGCTTGAGGTGGCTATACCAACCAGCGGCCGACTTCCGTCTACTTCTTCACGTCGGCAAATGGGTTTGCGCTTTCTCCTGAATGTCGTGTCCGCTCCTGATTCGGTTCCATCGAAATATGCTCCTGAGACGGTTTATCGGCAAGCAGCCAGAGAATATTGCCCAGGAGAGGATTGGGTTGCCACAGCTTCACACATAAGCATGGTTCTACGCACTACACTGAATACCCTGACCAAGTGGCAAGCACCATGACACTAGGTCGCGCGGACTGTAGGCATTGCACACACTACAAGGGATGCGGGATCACAGCCGTAGCTCTTGTACTGTCCAGCAAAGCGATCTGGTCTACAAGCGTGTCCACATACATTTTCCATGGTTCCGTTCAGATGAAATCGTTTCGCAGCTAAGCCATGGACTTTCGAGATTATTTATCGCAGCACGATGACACGCGAACAGTCAAACGTGTTGTAATCGTTACACCTGTAGCCCATTTCGGCACACAAGTCAACAGAACAGATGTGCATAGACTAAAGATTCTACTCTATAAACGAAAATACAAGGAGCACAGATATCGAGCGTTCGAAGTCTCCAAAACAGTGTGGACTCTGAGCAACAGTGTTGCTTTAATTTATATTGCAAAATGAATAGAACAGAGTAAAAGTCACTTTTACACGTGAAAAAAATTGGCAGAAGTTGCCGCTATCATAAAAAGGGAAATGAACCACATTGAATCTAAGCCCAAACCATGTTGGAAATAATTACAGTAGAGGAAATTGAATGGCTTTTATAGATCTCGACCGGGACTACAACGAAACTTAATGAATAAGGGAACTACAGGATCAATATTCTTGCTCATCAGATATGGAACTCTAAGGCAGCAGTCGAGTTCAAACTATTCTGGCTACTTCAGGATAGAATCTCATTCGCTATCCCCTGTCCACATCAAATCTACAGACAGAGGACGGCTTACGCCATGTCGATGGAAACAGCTGTAATTGTGGACATTCAGAGTTGAGGGAGGGCGACTATCTCTGGGACCACTTTTTAAATGATATAAATTCGTTGACAAACTGTACGACTAGCGTCACTTTACTCCACGGAGTGCTGTAGAAGCCAACCAGCTAAACATGCCATTTGTCATGGCAATTTACTCTTTGAGTTGCGGAGATATCCTGGCAGACCCTCAATCTCCAGTTATGAAAAAAATTGCACCTGCAATTAGACACAAACCTCTTGTATGTCTTGAGCAGATGTTATGTCCTCAAAGTTCCTGGTAAGGAGGGAATCAAGCCTCAAACCCAAGGGACAAGGAAAATCTCCACCATCATGATTGATCTCCCGTACCTATAAGTACAATGGTGTAGGCACCTGCGATGAATTTAGAGTACACAAACGGAAGAATGATCTTCGACCATCTTCACTACCTGTAGGTTGCTTACCAGGGGAGCTAATGATTTGGATCCGAAGCGTACAGACGATGGATGCTATTGATTCTCCTTTGCTATGTCCAAGTTTAGCTTCTTCATCTGATCCAGTAATTGAGTTGCCTTCCGCCGAGCCCTCTGAGTACCAGTTCGAACGAGTTCCGCCAAAGGACCCTGAGCTCCCCGTTTCCAAGCGTCCGCTAGATGGTTCGTATCACTCATACTTAGAGCAAGCAAAACTGCGGCAGCGTTTTCCTTGTTTCGTGGTGATCCCGATCTAATCAAGTCAACCAAAATTGGAATGGCAGAAGCACTACCGATCGCCACTCTACCCTCCGGATGTGTCGCCAATATCGCCAGTATGGCTAGAGATTCATCGACCATACCCGCATTAGGATCTACTAGCAGTTTCATCAACGGAGGTACGACACCCGCCCTCACTGCCTTGGCCTTATTTCCTTGGAAAATTGACAAATTGAACAGAGCAGTGGCGGCGTCCTTCTTTCCTCTTGCAGTACCATCTCGAAGCAGATCTACTAGAGCTGGAATGGCGCCGGACGCCCCAATAGTCACCTTGTTCTCATCAACAACAGACAAGCTGAACAAAGTAGCTGCGGCATTTTCCCTCGCTTCCATGCTCCCAGATTTGAGGACATCAACGATGGGATATATCGCCCCGGCCATCACAATAGCTCCCTTGTTGTTGTCATTTATTGACAAGTTCAACAGTGCTGTGACAGCGTGCTCCTGTGTTCTCAAGTCTGGCGTAGACAAAAGCTTGACAAGCAAAGGGATCGCTCCAGCCTCTGCGATACATATCCGATTCTCCACGTTTCGCTTAGCAAGCATGCGTAACTCCCCAGCTGCGTTCCGCTGCTCATCCAAACTTCCCGTGGAAAGCTTATTCAGAAGAACCTCCACAGCGGCAGCATCGGGGGAAACATCCGCGCAGTTTGCAGCGCTCGAACAATAGAGCAAGCCGCTCAGTGAAGGATTCATCTTCGGCCACGACACGAATGGAGAATTTTCGACTCTATCGCTTTGCAAGATGGGCACCGGCCTAGACTGCTACATAACTTGCCTTCACGATCAACTGCCAAAAATCCTCCTGTTGTCACACGAAATGGACATTGAAGATGTGCTCGAAACTTCGTCCAGCCTTTGTGAGATGTGCCCTGCTGCTCCAAACTGACCTGCCTTGTTCTAACGCTGTCAATTCCCTTAAGTAGAAGATCTTCTTGGAGTCTGCGATCAAGCTGTATACAATTTCCCTTAGCCAGTCCATGGCTCCAAAGTCAACCAGAAATCAGTGCGGGACGGTCTTCGACAGGTTCAATCAACTTGGAAAGCTGCATCTTGTGCAACTTGCAGGATGAGAGCCGTTGACAATTGGGTAATCGAGACTTTATTGATAGAATACAGATTTCCGTGATATGAGAGAAAAAGTTCATAACGTAAATGGTAAACGGTAAATAGATCAAGCCCGTGGGACCCAGAGGGTCAAAAGGCTGAAGAGCACAATACAAACAATCCAACTCCAACGTGAAACTGACACCATTCATGACCAGTCTAGAGTCGTCAATGGAGGACAATACTGGGCCAGCTCAGATTTTCGCGTCTACCACACATTTCAGAGTCGAACCTTCTCTGGAATTGACTCTGAATTGGCTGGAAATCTTCTTGACACCAGGACGAACTTCTGGCCATGAACTTCCAACGAAGAAAAGCATTTTACATTGCGACTGGTCTGCCCTGATATCAACAAAGTTTGTCACTTCACAGTCTGACAGCACGTTTTGTAGACTGCATGCTAGAACAACCCCGACCGTATGACTGTGGGCTGACGGTATACGGTCACCGTCGTGACGGTCTCTCATTTGTTACCGTCGCATCAAGAAGTCACCCGTCGAGCGCTCACTCTCGGGATTCAAATTCGACACATGTACAGCGGATGTGTGACACGTGTCGGAGCGATGGAATAGTGTGCGCGACAAGAGCCTTCGTGCTGGTCCATATTCTTGTATCTTCGGCGAGTATTCTCATCAGCAGTGTGTTCGACCCAGAGCGAACTATTCTTTCGACTTTATTAAAAAATACCGTGTGCGGGACACGGAAGCGGCTTGTTCAAATTTTGGAATGCTCCTTCGTTGGAGCACCATCTAACGAAACCAAACAAGGATATCAGAGCTTCTGAGTAGTAAGATTCATGAGTCAACACAGTTCGCGTACAAGTCCGGATTTGTTCTAAGTGACACTATACAAATTACTTCTGGGAGTTGAGAGACTCAAAATAACCATCGAATGAAACCAAAATTTTAGTATAGAGTTTTGAACACAAAATCGGCTAAGGAGCCCAGGCAGCAAAGCGCTGAACACTATGTAATCGTGCTCATCAATGGTACGGGTTGATTTGTGAGACGTGATTTGCAATACACGTTCATGTCTAGCCTCGATCACAGGGATGTTGCTTAATCTTCTCATTATTCCGTGAAATCCTCATTAGCAGAGTGACTGCCTTGTCTGTGGAATCGAACCCACCCTAAACCCTCTAATCGACAAAGGAGCTACGGAGCAGCCAGCGATAAAGTGCTGAGAATCGGAGGTCAGTTAAATAGATGCATTGAACGGCTTCTAAGAATTTCCTCGAAGCTCTCATCCTATCTTCGTCTTCCGTGAAGATTCTCCCATAAGCACAAAAGAAAGCACAATTGCAGTCACATATTTTGTTTCCGCAACATTGACTTCTTCATCAATCGATGCAGCCAAATCACTTAAACCACCTGTTCTGCCGGAGGTTCTAACATTCGACAACAATGACGACATTCGGTGCGCTTTTTAAGCTTTGCGTTTTATTAAATGTATGTGTACACATCGAAAGATGGACGGAGGCGGGCCAGATCCAAAATCTCTCTCCACCTCTTGCACAAACTTGCCGAAGAGAAAGAAGCAACCATCTGTACAGAAAGACGGTTTTTTTTTGTTTGACTTCCCGAGATCTCGCCACCTCTGTGAGCTTGGACGGGAGAAAGGTTTGTCTAGGAAATGCGGACAGGACGTGCTGATCGGATTGCTGGACTGTGAAAGCCATTGGTTGTGCATCGACAGAGAAGGTTTACAGGAGTGTGTGATCCCAACTGATGTACCAGGCTCTTCAGTATACATAATTTGAAAAAGATAGAGATGTTCATCCTCCACACCGTGAGTTACTGCTCTAAACTTTTTAAAGATTCGAGAGAGGTTTTCTGTATCCACTATGGCACTTCAAGGGAACCTCTTCTTCAGCACTGCCCACTTCAGTAAATTGCAGTAAGTCACCCATCGCCACTTACTGCAGCAATTAATCGATACTGATTTGATTGTAGACATTACGGTTCTTCGGTTGATTGAACTAAAATGGAGGTCACTAATTACCTTGCAAAAGTCCTGATTATTGCTACAGTTGGAGGGATTTTTCTACTTTGCATCGTCTTTGGAGCATTCGCAATCGATGGGGACATCTTGTTCACCCACCGGCAGATTTTGGTGGGCGTTTTTCTCATAATATTTGGAGCCATCGGCTCTTGTATTATAAGTTGCGTGTGCTGCGTGGGAGTAGACAATACGACGGTGACCTGCGACGTGTACTGCTGTGGCTGGACAGTTTGATGATTGATTGAGTTTGCAGGCCGTTGTACTCCTTTCTGAAATCTGATTCAGAATGATCCCAGCCCTGAGTGGCGTGGCCAGACACTGAAGAAAGCCTCTCGCCATGGAGCGGTGATTGACTGCCCCTAAGAAACAGGCGATTCAGCCTCTTGTGCCAAGTTTGCATGTACAGACAAGTAAACAGTCAATTGGTCGTTGCGACAGTTGCAGAAGAGTTTAATTCTATGATTCCATAGAAACAGCCTTGCTGCTTATTCTCTTTCCTATCAAGTCATCCATACTGATGCAGAGATATTCGGTCTTTGAACGTTGGTTTATGTCCAAATGCACAAGACGTCTAAAGGCTCAAGGAATTACATTCTGCACGCTTTTGAATTGCTTAATATGCTACATGTATCCTACATGTCATTAGCCGAATTTCGCCCGGTGAACGAACATGATGTGTGAAAATTCCTAAGTTAAAAAAACATCCTATGACAAAATGTAGTCTTGCGGTATGAGAATCAAGCATGATATTGCTCATCATGCTGTGATTTGGTTCAGTCAGGACTTGACATTCTATGCTACATTTCCTACTTAAACCAGGATGAGTTTATGCAATTAGGACATGACATGCCTAAACCTGGACGCCTACCATCAACATTAAAACTCAGGTTATCATTTTCTACGTGATTCGGATCCCCGGATGTCATGGTCTACACTAGATCCAACTACCCTATTTGCTACCTTGCATCCAGGTTCTAGCTTGAAATGTCTTAGTGCATGTTTATACTGTCTGAAAAACTTTCGGTTCTTCGGCTTGACCGGCTTGACCCTACTCGTCTGATCTTTCTTCTACCGTATTTGTACGAATACCAAGTCATTTGTCCGAATACAAGACTTTATTACTGCAAACAAACGAATCCTACCCAGTATGCCCCTACAAAAGCTCCTCGCTAGAACAACCCCGACCGTATGCTCTCCGGGATGACGGCGTACGTACACCGTTGGTGTTTCACCGTCACCGTCACCCACGGTTTCGCGTTTCTTCCCAAGAAGAGGCCCTGTCGCCTTTTCGTCCAGCATTTCTTTTTACGCACTCTCTCGGATTGGCGATGGCGGATCAGGCTACCTCGGATGGCGATTTGTCGAATGATTTTTCCATTCAAGCTGATGATTTATGATTGTCAGGACATTTGCGTTTGTATGGGGCCAGGGTTTTTTCTGTCGTCGCGGCTGTGAGATAATTGGCGGGGTTTCAAATTTTGCTTGGTTTCCTTCTTCCTCCCAGGGTTTTCTAAAAGCTCGATGTCAGCCTTGCTCTCCGTTTCTCTCCCCGTCCCTTCCCATCACTGAACCTTGCATGCTGTTTTTCTCTTCCGTCTGGGCTGTTCTCCTCGTCTTCCTCTATCCCAGCACGACATAAGCTTCGCATGTAAATACCTCCTTTTTCCTGCTATGGCTTTCGGAATCGTCTACCCGGAAGGTTTTCAGAAAAGGAACCCTATCTTGAATTGATTTTTACCGTTATGATCAAGGATTTTCGATGATAAAGCATACAAATCGGGAGGGGTCGTCCTAGATCCCGGTGGCATGATGTCGTCCTTGATGCCAGCAGGTTACTATCCATACAGAGGTGCGTATAGAACCTTCATGTTGCAGGTACTGGTTCCAGCTCGGTTCCCTGGAAAATTCGATTTCCATATCTGCTGGGACATAAGCAATATCGATCCGAATAGGCAAATCCGCCAACGTGGGCTACCTGCTGCGAGAAGGACTGCAACTCATACTTGGACGAAGTGCGAGCTATTTTCAATACCGATCTAGTCCGGGCTTGCCATTTCTACCTATCGACACCGGAGACGAAGAAATCAAGAAGTCTGAGCGGCTACTCAATTATGCAAACCCACAAGGCCTGTAAGTATGTCACGGATGAGCTGATTCGGGTCAACGGGAAATGCTGGGAACCACAACTACCGTAGAAACGTATGATAGGAAGAACACACAAGAACTCGAAGACAATATTCCTTGATTGTAAATGTTTGTCATTGGAACCTAACACTCAGCTTTAGAACAGATAGGAAGGATCCAATATCAGATGACATCAGGTCAGAGTTGACAAGTCAAAGGTCATAGTTGGAAAGATAGGGACAGCTAGCATTCCGTTAGTTATTTAACATATCATCATCTTCACCATTTACATGTCATTTAGGTGCCAATACTTAAATAATATTTTTTAAGCATTTGTGTAATTTATCATCACGACAAATAAATTCGAAATAGATTCGAAATAGAGATCATAACTATATCTACTTTGGAATTTAAGAAATATGAAACAATTTTCAATAGTCTATTTTATTAATCACAAAAAATAGGTTCAAACTTTGATGTGTTATTATGTTTTTTATTATAAAATTATTATTATTTTATTAAAATTAATTTTTCAACTAAATATAAATAATATTGAATCAATTCTTACACGATATTTTTATTTTTAATTATATTTAGCTCAAATTTTGTATTTTTATCATGGTTGAGTTCAAAAGTTCATACTTATGTACTTGAGAAACCATTTTAACCTTTAGAAAAATGCTTTCATAGTAAAAAATTTGATTTTATTTATATGTTAAAGAAAACCGGAGGGTGTTACTTCTTTATTCAGATGCATCCAAATTTT